TTTCGTGCTTTCTCTAGGCCTCCAATGGTGTCAAAAGTCCCAAAAACGAGTTCCTAAGGTCTGTTTTATACTGTAGGGCTATTCTGGGTCGAAAAAGGAAAGAAATCGCACAAGAATCCTATTCCCCGCAGGTCTGGTCTACGCGTCACACGAGTCGTGTCACATGCCACATGAGTCGTGTGACTTTTCTCAACGTTTCGGCGAACTTTCAGACTCACACGACTGGTCACACGACCGGGTCACACGAGCCGTGTGAGGCCACACGACCCGTGTGACAAGCCACACGACCCGTGTGAAAAAGCCGTAGCTGCGTTTCTTATTTTCTCAACCCACACGACCCGTGTCACTACCCACACGAGTCGTGTGACCTCTTCTGCACCCGTTTTCGCCGTTTTTCGTCCCGATTCCATCTCCAACGCATTTCCGGGCATATTTCCTGCAAAAACAACGACAAAAACACCTCTATCATAGTTTAATAAATAAAACGAATTGGTGCACAATCACACGATAACCAGGGCCAAATATCACAATATATCACTCATAATGCATGAAAATATGATGAATATCATAAATCAATTTTTTTTAATTATTATGAGAAAATTAAATTCTAAAAAACATGTGTGGGTATTTTGTAAACATTTATAGAAATTTTTTTATTTTAAACTCATTATTATAAACTAAGAAGAAGAAGAAGACTACTTCTATAACCTTTATAAATAATAATAATGACATTATATGACAACAAATATTATAATAAAATAATAATTGACTATTAAATAAATGGTGAACAAGAATAAACATAATTTTTTTTTCTTATATCGATGGATAAATATATGTTGTAGAATCAAATTTATATCAATTTTAACGTGTTAGCAGAATGATATATTAATAACATGTCAACGTTATGACTAAAATAAATATCACTGAGTGAAAGAAATGAAAAATTAATGATCCAACCCTATTATTTTTTGCCAAAATTGTACAAGCCATATAGATGACTCAATTAATATATATGCCCCGTGCATCGCACGGGCTATGCACTAGTCATATTATACAAAATATCCACCTTATTATAAAAGGAATGAAACATTTTAAATCTATTTATTAATATATAAAAAGATGAAGCATTTATCTTTAAATTTCAGGATAAAAATTTTGTTTTTACTATTAATTTATCTTTTATTTAATTTTCATGAAATCCCGCCCAAAACACGTTTCATAATTTTTTTAAAAACTCAATGTGAAAAATCCCCAAATCAACTAAATTGGGATGACATGTTTGAAAAAAATTTGTAAATTTGTTATAAGTTTGGAAATCCGTTGTGTCCACATTTATCAAACTAAATAATATTTTTCAAGTTTGTATTTACGGGAGAAAAAATTGATTGATATCCAACTTATCTGCATATAATGCCGTAAACATAATTTTGAATAATGCAACAAACAATCACATTAGTTTTGGCTCTTTTTTATTAATCCTTTTGTTTTAAATAGCCAATATTTTAAACATTAATGAATATTCATTTTTTCTTTTTAATCAGGTGTGATTATCATTTGCATAGTTATCTTATGAATTTATGGTTATCGCTTTCCTCAATATTTATGGTTTAACGGAAAATATTTTTGAATGAAAAAATAAAATTTAAATATAAAATTAATGTAATCAAATGATTAATTTAATACTAAATAGCTCTTTTTAATAAATAAAATAAAAAACTTTAGTAATTGAATACAACACAACCTTTTTGATAAAAAATTAAAACTCAAACCAGAGTTATTTAAAAACTAAAATTTAATATGTCAACAAATTAATAGAAATTTTTTGTATTTTAATGTATATAATTAATTATTAAGACCAAACGTAAATATATAATATATTACGTAGCTATTTTAGAAACTAAACTAGCATTAATTAAATAAAAAAAACTATTTTTCAATAAAATAAAGTTTAGTAAACATTTTTCAAAGAATATTTTAAACAAATATTTCTATGTTCTATTACACAAAGTCAATTTTGTGTATCATTTTTAATAAACTGATATGCATTAAATTATATCAATTTAATGACCATTTATTTTGAAATATCTTTGAATAATTTAGCTTTTATTTGGACTTGAAATTGAAAAATTCAAAACATTTTTACCCAATCACTTTGTTAAACAGATTGGTTCATATCCTTATTTATGTAACTAAGAACAATATTTATCTAATAAGTATTCTAGATTTTTCATATAATTTTTTGTAGAAAATAATTCTATATTAAGTTGTTTCTCACACATAATAAACCGGCTACAATATCGTAGGATTGTTAAACATCTTTAGTATCCGTGCCCATATTTAATTCATCAATTATTGTTTTACGGATTACATAGCTGATGATTGAATTGAGATATATTGACTGTCGACCACCACCAGTTACGAATTTGGTATTTAATATGTAGTTAAATTTGGGGTTATTGAACAATTAAAGGGGTTTTAATTGCAAAGTAAGGGAGAGCGGAAATAAAGAAAACGAATGAACAAGTGCTGAAAAATAACGAGACACTGATTTTGTCGATCTACTGAGGAGATCGACAAGGATAAAAAGATTCTTCGGGAAGTATTTATTGAGAGTGTTTGTGTTTTCTTTTTCTTTCTGTTTAATCAGTTTTTCTACTATACCTGGTTGTGTATTTCACCTTTTTTGAGGGGCGCATGTGTCTATTTATAAATAAAAAAAGGTAAAAGTCCAATAAATGCGTCGTGTCACTTAGGGACGTAGAGTGCCGTAAGATGTATTCATGCAAAACTCGACTTTTGAGGATGAGACCACTTGGGTGATGTCTTTATCAGCTTTAACGGTTCTGTAGCCAAATGCAAGAGTAGGATTCAGGATGAGACCGGTATAAGGGGTTGTTTGCCGATTGGGGAGATTTGCAAATCTTGCAGGTGCTGCTTTTTGGGCTACTTATGCTCAGATTTGTTGGCCCAATTCTCATCCGGCAGAGTCTTGATGGGCAGATCCAAAGTCCGTAAATATTTAGGTGCAACAAAAGATATTTACATTAATTATACCATATATATCAGAGGACCTCGAATGAGATAGAACTAAACTTTCACGTAATATCAAATACAACTTATTTTTTCACGTATCCTAGGGCCACATAGAATCGACACTCATATTTAATTATACTTCATAACATAACTAATTTTACCTCATTTACATTGTAAAACAACCAATTCAGGTGGCATTCAACCGTGTCATTGTCCTAACCTGTTTAGGTTTATAAATAAAATTATAAAATCAATAAATCATTTTATATATGGTAGGCAAAATCTATTTGCTGAGAATAATTTGTGTATTGTTTTCTAAAACATATTGTGGTCGGTCAACAAAATATCATAATTGTTTAATCTATATATTTTTATTTCATAAAATAAAATAAATATTTATTACTTAATACGTCAAACATACAATAATCTAAAAATGATATTTTTGCATCACTTATTTTATTATAAATTACATCTGCTTTATCTTTTTCTTCTTCCCTTATTTATCTTTTTTCTTTTCAAGAGCTCGACGGTCAGAATATCACCGTGAACGAGGCTCACAGTGGCAGCGGCGGCAGGTTTCGAGGTGGGCCGTGTCGTGAGGGTGGTAGGTATGGTGGGGGCAATGGCGGGGGCTATGGAAACAGTGGCTATTGGTATTTATGTTTTTCATTGTTTGTATTTATTTTAATGAGATGAGATGTGAAAAATAATATAAACAATTATATTTAAAATAACATCAAAATAAGGCTTAAAATATGAACTCTTCCTGCATCGCACGAGATATGCATTAATTGATTATGAAAGAGAGTAAATGGAATAAGAAAGAGAACAAGGAAGTAGAATAACTAAGAAGAGATAAAAGAGAGGAGAAAAAATACCTTTTATATCAAATTAATGTATTATGTCAAATTAGTATATTCCTAATATAATAGGATAAATTTGCTATATCTGCAGGTATATTTACAACATAGTATTGTTGCAAAACCTTTAAAAACGTGTACGAAATATGTAATATAGCCT